TTTTATTGAACTGGGATCTATACAGGAACAGTAAAAGAGCAAAAAAAGATGGATGGACATGAAGATAAATAGATGAGTCGGCTTTTAGCCATCAAATGATAAAGACAAAGGTGGGGGAACATGAGAAAAAATTGTGGGGGGAAAAAAAAGGCAGAGCTAGATGTATGAATAAATGGGATTTCAATCTTGTTCCAAGCCATGGGAATATCAGGGAAAGAATGGGGGAAAAAGATGAAATGAAACGGACATGAAAATAGAAAGAGACATAGATAGATGATAATGGTTTTTCCCCCATGTTCAGAACCATGGCAGTCAAAGAGGGAGAGATGGAAATGGATAGATGGATAGTAATGGGATTTCTGCCTACTTTTAAGCCATGGGACTAAGCTTTGTGTTTGTTGTGTTGACTGAAAGCCGCTTACAATGTATTTGCTGCTCTAAGCCAAACGTTACATTAGTTTTTGTAACATCGAGAAAGCTGATTACTATATCACTACGAGTAAATTGTACAAAAAAAGCAATGTTACTCCCGGTTGTTGTTTTTTTAAACATTTTTCTAGTGTGATCTGAACTATGTATGGGTGTTTAAATGAAAAGTTTAGCAACAAAGGCTTGTTGAAGTCTCTTTCTTCTAGTTTTGGAGGTGAAAGAATAACTCTAACACTGACCTTTTCTCCTAAGGTGTAGAATAATTTGTGTTTTAGTTGTCAGTGACCCACCCCCCCAGCTGTTCCACATCCAACCCATTTCCCCGACCATATGCTCATCAAGAGAGACAGGAGAATATGTAACACACAGCAGGAAATTAATAATCTTAAAAAGACTAGTTTTGAGTGTGCAGTTCATTTAGTTCGTAATTGTATCAAATGGTTGTAAGAACACAGATAAGTGTGCATGTATGTGTGTGGTGTTGAGATTAAAAGTTAGAGGGCACCCAATATCAGCTCTGCAGGATAGCAGAATGAGCAGCCATTTGGAGTTTTTGGAGATATTTTTCAAGCCGGTGCTGCCCTGTACAGGGCATTTCACAGCATAGGCCTTAAAAACTGAGATGAAACTGTGATGAAACCTGCTGGTATTTTGTAATTTGAAACTTCACCAGTAACCGCACAGTAAAAACATCCTTTAAATTTCTTTCAATTTTTCTATTCAAATTTTTTTTTTTAAGTACACTAGTTAACTATCATATTTACATTCTCTTTTGGGTGTTTCAAAATAGACATAGTTTGGCTTTTGTTGACAATCTTAGTTTTAACGAGGGTTGTATAATTGTAAGTAAGTCTTCTTTCCTTTTATCAGATGACATGTCAAAACCTCTGGGAGAAAATCAGCCAGTCAAAGCTACAGTACATCAGCTTGCAGTCATACAGAATATAATCCAACAGCAGTTTCATTGGAGAAAATCATCATTCATGTAGGCGTACAATGTCTTTAACGTTTTCTCTTAAAGTCCACTGCATCAGAGTGTTAGAAATGCTTCATTTAAAACCCCCCGGAGGGATTAAATATCTTTTATGGTCAAAGAATGCCTCGAGATCCCCCAGGAGGAGGTGGAGAGTGTCACTGTGGAGATAAAGGTAATGGATAATTGCTTCAAACATCTCTTAGACTAAAGTGAATGCTTGCAGTGAGGCGCTCAAGACATTCAGGTACATAACACAAGCTCTGCTTTGTTTGTTTTTTCCTTGACACATAGCCATTAGATAAGAAAAAAAACAGAAAAAGGGTTTTCGAGTGTTTTCATGCTCCCTCGAATTCTAAATCACATCTATAACTTTTGCTGATAATGTTCTTTTTCTAGTTTATACCTGAAATTCCTTTTTTATAGCAATGTGTTCTCCTCAGTCTGCCAAATAAACACTTTTCTTTTTAACCCAAACTTGACTTTCTATGTCACTTCTTCAGGTCATGCCATTTAATTATTTAAAACTCTTCTTGTTTGTCCACATTGTTTGAGGCTACTGCAAATAAAATCAAGAAAATCCATTTGACTGATGATACCTACACATTGATTAGCAACAACAACCCATTAACTAGCTGAGAAAATTCATTTTAGCTTAAAACAAACCTTTTTCTTTTCCTAAGAGCCCAAATAGAAACTTCCTTAAAAGGCATCAGTGAAGCATGACGATAGTTAATCTTTAGCGTATGTGGGAGGTGTATATTTTATCTCCTATTATATCTTATGCTGGCTGCTGCCCCCAGCTTTTTTTTTGCGTTGCATTAACCTAATCATGTCCTGTCATCAACTCTGTTATTGCCAAACAAATGGGAGTGGTATTGATTTGCTGACTTTTGATTTTGGTTCAGTCTCATTAATGAGCATTAAATATTTCTCTTATGTTGTGGGGAACATTTGAAAAATAACTCAAGCTTTTCATCAACAAAATCTTCCAAAAGATTAAATAAAGTGTAAGTTAAATCAGTCAGAGATTAGATAGAAATACTGTAAATACAGATTAATCAATTGACCATGCAAGCCTATCTGAACCGTGGAGTGTAAAACCAGTTGAAACCATACACACACTCTTCATTTTGCATGAACTGTCTCCGGTTACCTTAATTAATGGCACCTTCCTGAATCTGAATCTGGGTTCAGGCCCAATGAGAAAAGTTGCCTTCGAAACTGTCTGACATCAGAAAAAAAAATAGTACACACTTTCTGTGTTTCCATGTTTACGGGCCACAAACGGTTGAGACAGTATCTGAGCGTATGTTTTGTTTATGGTGACGCGTGAGGATGTGCTCCTGTGTCTGTGCTTGTTTCCTTTTTGTACGTGTCCTTTTTGTATGTGAGTGAGCGTGCATGAAAGGAAAGGTAGGATTACTCGCTGGTGTTTGTGAGATAGGGTAGGATTACGTGAGAGGGAGAAGCAGGGGAAGGGGGGAGAGCAAAGGCAGGGGTGTGACAGGAGCTGAGATAGAGAAACAAAGAGATAGATGGGGTGACAGTCCGTGGGAGGAAACACAATCAAAAAAGAGAAGTGAGGAGGCAGTTTGAAAATTAGAAAAGAAGAGATAGCGAAGAAACTCTGGCTCTAAGTTGAAAAGGGAAAGGCTTCTATTAAAATCGTGTGTTATAAGTTATTGATGAATGCTGTGTTTGCTGCTTTCCATTGTAGTTTTCAATAAGAAACTGATAACAATAGCAGCTCCTCTGCAGAACTTGATATTCCGTGTCCAAACTAAGTCTCATAGGATAATGTAAAACCGTAACAAATCAGATGCTTGCTGATGAACACAAAATCTTATTTTTAGTTTTTTATTATTACATCCAGCTTACATCCATCCTTTTGAATAAGATCTCTGGTATGTGTGCCTAAAACCAGCAGGTTAGCCAGGTAAGGATTTTTTTTTTGACACACACCATGCTAGGAGTATGGTGGTATGGAAAATGAATGTATGATTATTTAAAAACAAACCTAAAGCATCTAGTTTTGAATGCTCACTTTTAACAAAAAACTCATAACTCATAATGAGGATTATATTTGCTTGTGGAATATGATTCCAGCCAGTGTTGTATAAAGTACTGACATCTTTGATTCAAGTAAAAGTATAGGTCCCTCTCCAAAATATGACTTTGGTAAAAGTCCAAGTCACTGATTGAAATGTTACTTTAGTTAAAGTCTTAAAGTATCTGAAATGTCTTGTACTTCAATATGAAAATTACTGTAAAAATAAATGTCTCTAAACTGGAACAAATCTGATTCAGTAGTGTTTAACTCTTAAAGTTGCTGACCCAAGGTGTTGTTTAGCTCCTTGAAATGTAGGAAACAGTTGATAAGGCAGAGTAATTAGAGACTAAATTACATATACACAATACAAATTGAATTTACAACACCTTTACCACATGTAAGCAATCCCTTCAGATTTCTCTAGAAGGCATAATCATTTTTGCTCCTTTCAGCTAATGCAGCTGACTTTGGGAAGAAGTTCATATAGCTCATGGCAAGAGCTGGACACACTTCACTTAGTACAAATCTGCTTTGTTCAGTTAAAAATAAATAGAAAACACGAACACCACTGTTTAATGGGCTTAATTGAAACTTGTTGATGCGTGACAGTGCAATGTGAGAAAACCACCATGGAAAAGGGGTTTGAATTAAGAAACAGTTTGCAGCTAATTTACAACAAACTGAACTGTCAGTGGAATGTCCTGTTTTTACCACTGTGTTGTCCTGGAAAAATCCCCCCCCCCTCTCTTTTTTAGATCCAAATATCACATTCATTAGATGCAGTTCTGTTACACATGAGGTATCTGATAGCACACTTTTAGCATGTTACCTGACATCATTTTCTGGTGCAGAATTGTTTAAATTTAAAGCTTTTGTTTCCTCAAGCAGGTTTTGCATTAGGTGGCCTCATGGTGTTGTGGTTAGAACGCCACAGCAAGAGGTTTCCCGATTCCTGTCGGTGTGGTGTCTGTATGTTCTCTCCTCATCTGTAGGTTCCCTCTGGATACTCCTGTGTCCTCCCAAAGTCCAAAAATATGCATGTTAGGTTCATTAGGGACTCTAAATTTCCCATAGGAATGGATAAGAGTGTGTGGTTGTTTGTCTCTGTGTGGCCCTGTGATGGCGTCTCGCCCATTGACAGCTGGGATAGGCTCCAGCCGTCCTGCCGTACTAAGAATAAGCGGTATAACAAATGGATAGATGGACAATTAAAACTTAGTCCCTATTTAACGATATGAATACCCAAAACTGAGCTGTGGTATGGGATTAAAATGACTGTGATGACTGTTTAACTCACATTTGTGAGTGAGCACGTTAAATACTGATAACAAAATAGCCTGTCTAGTATTTCCATTTCCTTTTCCTTCCTGAAATTAGACAAGAGGTAGGAAAGTTTAAGACTGATTCTGAACATACAGGATCCAAAACCTGTAATGCATGTTTTTCAAAGTGATAATATTCTGCTCTGACTTGTAATGGATTGATATCTATAATACTCTGGTTACAAAGTTTGATCCAGAGTCATTTTCATGATAAACAATAAATACCACAAACACGGTACAATCAACCTAACAACCAACTTAATTTAAACATAACTTAAATCCCTTTCTTTCAGTTTTGGATATGAAAAGCACGTGTCATTTATAACTCTGCAAAGATTAATGAAAAAGATGTAGATTTAGTTATGTATTTATCTATTCATTATATTATATATAATATAATAAATGTATTATTTATTATAAAATACATAGATTTCAAGTTCAGTGACAATATCTAATATTTAAATCATTTGATTTACTGAGGTTCTTAAAAAATACAAAAAACTTTCACACTATTTTGTGAGGTGTTGTGTATGCAGGATGAGAGAGACCTGCCATTGTGTGTGTTGACAGTTGTCTTTTCTGTGGCTGCAAAAGGTTAATCTTGTTTTGGAGATTAAATTGATAAAAGCTCTCCTTCAATGAGAAATATCGGGAATTAAATTAGATATGACATATCGACTGTTCCCTTTGTCTCTTGTTTGTCATGCCAAGATGTTTTCGTATTTCCTCTCTGCTCCCAGATGCTTGCGTTGCTCTTCTCCACTTCTTGAAGTTTGGAGTCTGGAAATGCAAACCTCAAACACCAAATTCAGTCCGTTAAAGGGATGAATGTGTTGGGAGGAGCACGGCTTTATTAGAAAAAGATGGGAAAGCCTTTGAGTTATTAATGTTTGTTTATATTTGGCTGCAAACAGGTTTCTGTTGGATTGAAATGAATGTAGAGTGAAGCAATAAAGGTGGAGATGGCTGGTTTCCTGAGCTTTATGCTAATCAGCCATCACTTATTTATTCATCTGACTGCCACTGTCTGCTCAATGTCACACGGCACCATACACAAACAGCTCTGCAAACACACAAAAAAAGGTTAAAAAACCACCTTCACAGCATGTGAATCTTTGATTCTTCATTTTTAAAATCCTTATTCTTTGATGAAGATATGACAATGAGGCATCTTTTAAATGTTAGCAATTCAAACCACTAAATATACAGGTAAGTGGTAGTTATTGCTGATGATAAGCACTTGTAGAGGGCAACGAAAAAAGAATAGAATAAGGTAAAAAAAGCCCACTGAAATCACCAGCTTGGGTTAAACAATAATAGCAAGAATAAAGCATAAAATGTCTGCTTTTCCAGGTCATGGCTCATATGATTGAGCTCACACTGAAACATTTTTTCCTAAGGGAATGAAAAGAGAAGGTTTACATCAAGAGAAAAGTAATGTTCATCTAAGGTACACGCGTACACACACACACACACACACACACACACACACTCCACTTAATATCCCCACAGGTGTTGCTCGTGTGTGACATCATCACACCTGCAGGTGAGATGCTACGGTGACGAGTGAGTGTGATCTGTCTCCACCACACATTGAAAGAGCTAAGATCTTAGAAAGAGCAATGTGAGGCTAAAAACATGGCAGGGCTGTGAAGATGTGACTGTGTTTAGAAATTTCTCTGCCATTGAGTGTCTGCCTGGGTGGTAACACAACTTCCTTAGAATTTGGGGGGGGAAGGAACATTTTGAAACAGAACAGTGTTTAATAAAAGACATATGCATTTGTAAAGATTACAGATATTTGTATCTCTACTTTTGTAAGTTTTTGTTACAGCATCCACTCTCACAGTGCAGTTTTACCGTAATGGTTTTGTTGGTTTTTATTTTTTTAATAGTCACTGAATTACATAGTGTCTCCCAAAGTCTTTTGGTCACTGTTACCTCTGCCTTACGGAAAGAAGAGGGACAATTGTTAATCCGCGTCTCATCCTATATAAAGTGCCCCTGGAGTAGTTTTGTTACCGGTAATGTTCTCTCGAAAGAGAGATAGTTCAGCAAGACATTGGCCAAATTACACTTTCTGACCACTATAAGCTTGGGTTTTTCTCAATTTGGCACATTCTAATAGACCGGGCCTTGAGGCTTTTGAGCCAAATACCTTTTTGGATTTCAACTGGCCCAATATCCATCTACAACATACTATGCCATGAAACACAATCTACTCAGGAGGAGTACCATTCACAATGCAGTTTTTCAGTAAAGGTAAATCAGCAGTTAGTGATGGCCCAATTTAAAAAGTTGGTGCACATACTTTTCCGGTCCGGGCAGGAAAGAAAAGGACATAGTACAGCATAAATGTATCCTGTTGCCTAGGAAATAGGCATAAGAAACTTTTTACCTTTTCTCACAAAGATATTTTATCAACTGAATTTATTCTTGTAAAATAGAAGAAGTGCATAGCTCTAAAATGGTATTGATCAATCTCCTTAAATGTAATGTGTATGAATAAAAAATAAAAATGGGTCTAGCCACAATCTTGTTCAACTGCAAATTAAAAAAAAGTATTGAAATGCATAAATGCAGCAAATAATACACCTAAAAAAAATAAATAAAAAAGACAAAGCAAATTATAAAATAATTATGACAAAACTATAAAATCCTGGAGAACTGAAAAAACTTCCAATTAGTCATGTACTTTCAGCTAAAGACTTTAGCCTTTTAGCTGGGACAATACATTACAGGTCAAATTGATTCAAGACAGAGAAACTTAATCTAGTTTATCTCTGTGGGCTGGAGCATGATTGTAGCAGACGTTCTATTTGTGCTTTACATTTGCGGGACCTGTGGAATCACGCAGCGCATACTGCATTGTAACTGATAGAAATGAGGCTGGTGAGAGGCTCAACCTTTTTTTTTATTTTCAAGCACAGAGTGTCTCCATCTCAACAAAACGTGAGCAGTGCATTCAACCTTGACACCACCTCGTACCACTGTTGCCACGGTTTGGCCCGTGGATATTTGTCAGGCCAAAGTCCTGGCCCCTTTGCCCTGTGGGATTTCTGATTGCGTCTGGCTTGAAATGATAGTGGGGTTGTTATTGGTCCCGGCACTAGATTCTGTAAAAAATAACCAGTGGCACCAAATCACTTATTAGATGCTTCCACATATTTGGGAAAGAAGCTTAAAAGGAAACATTAAGCCAGCATAAGTATATATTTTTATGTTTTGAAGCTAAAAGATGTGAATGATGCTTTATTAACACACTGCCACAGTGTTAAATCACTGCAGCAAATCTGTGTCTGTAAGCTCGTTTTGTTTGTCTGCAGATGCATTAGCGTGAATGTTTGTGTGCTGACCACAGTAAAGAACAAGTGGCACCCCATCGTTCACTCTGACCTCATCCAACCCCCAACACACACAGACGCACACACTTCTTTGCAAGCGCAGACTGTCTCTATAATGAAGTTTAATGACTGTAATGTTGTGCCAGAAAAGAGTGGGGAGAGATAGAAAAGGTACAACAGCATTACTTTTTTCTAAAAGTCTGGAATAGCCTATTTGCACAGGAAATAAAGGTTTCAAAACCACAGCGATTGATTTAACTTTGTCTTTGGTAATCTTATTGACAATTGTATTTTAGACATAATGTAGTAACAAACTCCAAATGTAGATGAGGCCATCTCAAAATAAAACATTAAAATGTTCTTCAAAATGCCTAAACTAACAACTAAATTTGCATTTTTAGAAAACCATTTACATGTATGATGTTGATGCTTTTCGGCCCAAAAAAAAGATGGTCTTCTCTTTCATTTTTTTTACGGTTTTGTGAAGAAAGTGTTGGGTCCAGAGTATTTATTGAATACCTTGGAGAAATGCATGCCTTTAGTTTGCAACAACTTAAAACGTTCTTTATGATGACTCGGTTGAATTTGACCTACAGTGAGGTTCCTAAATGTTTTTTCTCACATTACCCTTAATAATTTATAACGTTCCCATAAATCTCAGTAGTAGGCTCCAGATCCTCTCCAAGCTAAACAATGTTGCACTCAGCATTTCTGAAAACAAGGCGTTTACGAGGATAAATTACTGAAAGGTGAGCTGTGCCTAACTCTTCCCCTTACATGTATCAGCTCCAATGGAGCACAAGCATCCAGCCTCCTAACACAACACTGATATTTGCATTAATATCAGTAATAGGTGAATCCCTCGAGTCATGCTTGAGCAGAATTAAGCTAGGCTCATTATGTAAACATGTGTTTTTGAGTACAACGGTGTTTACTAGTTCTGGTTATTGCTTGAAAATATTATTTCACTATATGATACTATTATTACACCAGTTCATATTCATTTAGATAGTCAGTTTTGCATTAAAAAAACAACAACTGGTAACCACATTGGTTTTAGGGTGTTTTCAGGAGCATGCATAAATGTAGCTATTTCTTATGTATCAGGAGTTGACAGACAACAGAGGTCGTGATTTGTATTCCAGTCATTTGTGTCTTGAATTTATGCATAGGTAGGTCAGCTATATAAATGTGTGCGTTTGTGTGAGTGCGTTTGTGTGAGTATCTAATGCATGTATGCATGTATGAATGAGGGAATCAAAATGATTGAGGCGCAAACAACAGGTAGTGGTGATTTTGATGGATGAATTAGTCCATCGGGAGACTGTCAATTAATTTCCTTCAAACTGAATCAAGTCAAATACGGTGGAATAAGAACTAGGTCATTTTCCATCTTATGTGTAGAAAAAACTAAAACGTTACACACTTGACAGACTTACAAGAAGATAAATGTTTCCTTGACCAAAAACAAAGCCATAAAAAGAAGAAGAAGAAAAAAAACATTCAGAGGTCAGCCCTGTGTTTGGATTAGCATGTGTCAGTATTCCAGAAGAAGAGATACAGGACCAATGACAAGTAGTCCAAGTTGACTGTTTGAATTCTTAATGGTTATTATCATTTGTTTCTCTTAATCAATCAATGCCATGCTATTTATATATTATTGACTTGCAATATTTTATTCAAGAGTTATTTTAGAGGGGTGTGTTTGCCATATTGTCTAGGTTACTTTTTAAAAGGAAACCATTGCAGATTGAGATGGACAGAGATGGAAAGCAGAGGAGATAATTGATCTATGTTTTTGTGCTTTCAGTCATTTCTCATCAAATATTAGTCCACTGGGTTTGTTTCGCTGCATAATTGTTGTTCAGCTGAGAAAATGTAGTTTTGAACCAGACATCTATTTAATGCTAATGCACGTGCGGATGACTGATTTTGTCCCCCATCTCATGACCAGAGAAAACTGCTATTCAGCCACAAATCCGTCATGATTCTCTTTGCTGAGAGCTCAGTGCAGGTAAATCATTGGCTGCTAAAAAGTCTTTGCACACTTACTCAAAGAAAAGAAAAGAACTATTGTTTATAGATTGGCCAGCGATGTTATTATGATAACCTGTTTGATATAGAGTGAGCTTTTTAAAAGACAAGTCAGGACATTTGACATCGTCCTGCAGTGTTGTGTTCCAGAAACTTAGCAAAGGTTTCTGCTGTGTCCTGTAGGTTGTGTGGATGGTCTTGGTGTATTGGGATTGCTTCCCGCGGATGCTATCAGATTGATAAGTGGACAGTTTAGAGGTCAGGAGAACACCTCAGGCTCTTTGGCATGCTTTTTAGCCCTTCCTAAACTGTTTTTACAAGGCTCAGAGCCGTCCCTCAGCTGAAATCTGCTTATTAGGGGAGCGGTGTTGCCATACTGTATGGCTGTTGGGGGGGGATTAATCTGCCGAAATGTTTACGTTCGTGACAGAGTGAAATCCTTGTCAGTCCCAGGGTAGAGGTTTAACCTGCAGAACATGGCCACAGCTCAGGATGAGAATGGTTGCTCGCTTTAGCCCTGCATCCTGCCTGAATGGTGTGTAAACTGCTCTCCTCCTTTACTCCTCCTCCACTTGCATCTCTATCAGTCTTGTTTCACATCTGTCACTTTTCCAAAAAAGCAAGTAATGTATTTGCCCCCCGGGGCCACCGTGGCTGGCCAAGCCCAGTTGTTAATCAGCCAGTTACAGTCCTCCTTCCTCACAGTCACCACCTTTAAATCATTTTTGGCTGCTTGCCAGAGTCACTAGGCGTGTTTATTTACAGTCACATTTCAACATCTGCTGCTGATCTTGTAAAACAGCAAAAAGCGTGTCGACGGGTTTTTAATCTTATGTTAAGTTTGATTTAATTCCAGTGTCTTTTTTTATATTTGTTTGTTTTCTTCCTAAATTCAAAACCTCTCATTGTGAGAGCCATTTAACCATTCCAATGCTGCTTTCTTAAAGGGGTAGGCTTTACCGCAACAATACATTTGAAGTGCTTACTAACACTTTTGAGTTGAATTGAGTAAACTGTAAAAAAGAACAAAAAGAATAATTGTGAATGACTGAAGAATCAAGTAATTAACTGCAATTCTAAAAATCCAACCACTTGCCAGCACTTGTTAATATGAATGCATTTTAATTGGTGTTGTCAAGTGATTAATTATGATTTTTCTAAGTGATTTTTTTTAGCTTAAACAACTATAAACTTTCCCAACAACACCAAATGTCAAACACAGATTTGCGTGTATACAAAACAAAAATACTGTAATTAGTTAAAGTGGAATACAGTTTTAGTGAATTAAAAAATACTTTCATTCTATTACTTTTTCTGCACTGAACTTGTGTATTAGTGGGTAGCCTGAAACAGAAAAACATGTTGTGTGGTGTGTGTCCTGTTCATGTCAGATTTTGTGAAATTCAAATCACTCTGTTTTTGTTGGAAACTGTCTTTGGTCTTGTTTCCTGTCAGCAATATTTGCAAACCACTTTGCAAACTTGACTGAGAGGGGTAATCAATCAATAAAAAAAAAAACTACCAATGCAATATTGTTGTGATATAGAGCCAATCTAAGCTCTCCTTGGAGGTTTTCGTGAAAATTGAAATTCGGACATCTGCTGTTGAACAACGATGCCGTTGTTGTGTTTTTATTTTTTCTGAGTTATGAAATACATGTTATCCTCATTAAAAGCCATATTGAGTTTGCTTCTTGTTTTCCCCAAGCTGTGCAAACAGAACAACCACCTAATTTCATAGCTGAATTGATTTGGATATTGGTTTATTTAGTAAATGGGCTGAATATGCATTGCAAAAGGCATTGCACTTTACATCTGAATCTTTATCTTTTATTGCTGACCCTATCACAGCAAACGATGTTCAATCCGAAAATCATATTAGACACAAACAACAAAGCCACTTTTGCATTAGGGTTTTGTATCGAGCGTTACCTGGCAAAGCAAGCAGGACGGTGAAAGATGGAAAATTGGAATCAGGGTAACTAAACATGGTGGACAGCTGATGAGAAAATTTAAACAGTGTCCAAATGGACACATTGTATGAAGACATTGCATTAATATCTGATTCATACAAGTGGATGGCTTTAATATTTGGGGTTTTAACAGTTTGATTTCCACTTAATCTGATATTAATTAACCTGAAATAGCTGACATTCATTATAATAAGAGAAAAAACCAAAGGATAGAAAGACAGTCATCACCTGTCATTTCGCTTATATTGAGTTGTCAAGCTTCT